CTAGCATGGACAATAATTACCCCTGTGATTTTGTTTAGCCTGCCTGTTGGGAATCTAAGTATTTCAGGATATGATTCCCTTCCCCCTACCTAGAAGGGACCAAGCCTAATAGTTGAATGTGAGGGAACTTAATATATTGATAGTTCCATCTTAAATTCTTCCATGAATTGGATCAGTTCAACCTTTTCCTGGTAAATTTTCAGCTCGCTTGTGATTCAAGAAAAGTTTATCTTCAGGGTTTCTTTCTCCTTCCTGTTAAAACCATGCCATCTTCAGCACTTCCCTCCGAAACTGCCCCCAGGTTTCTAGATTGTATTCTCTTCTTCCCTTGTTAAATCAGAACTCATCTGTCTTATAGATACTGGGCCTTTCGAAGGTTCCCAGGTGATACAATGACCTGACAAGTCATAATTCTTCAAACCCAAATCTTCCTTTTCTGTTTTTCCAGCAGTAGGAGTCAGGTGTGTGATAAGCAGGTGGCCACCCATGAATAACAGACCAGACGATACTACAGGACAGTCGAGTGGTGCCCCCACACACCTACCCACCCCTGCCATTGGCATGTGTTCCAGGATGTGGATGTACACTAGAGGGTTGTGTCTGGGTTAAATTTATATGAATAGAATTATGCTAAGAACACAATTACAACTTTTTATTCAGTACACTTTTAAGGTCTGTGCATGCAGTTGTCAATTTGATTACTCCTGGCTGATTCATGGTATTCCACAGTAAAAGCATTTACCAGGTTTTCGCTTTTTCTTGGAGCTCATAGTGTGTTATGAACCAAGATTGCCGCCAGCACTATTCAACTGCAAGCCACACTATGATAGCCATCCTCAGATGTGTTTCCCTCCTTTCCCGAGAGAAATTTCTATAGTAGACTGAGCGGTGGGATTTGGGGCTCACAGGACATACCTCATCTTAGTAAATACTGCCAAATTACTCTACAGAATTGCTGTGTTCGTTTAACACGGCCAACAGTAGCACATGCAGGTTCCAGTTCCCCACATCTGGTATATGTTATTTGGTATTTGGTAATGTTTGTTATTTTTTAATTGTCTGATTTTTCCAATACAGTAATGTCTTTGCCAATACAAGTAATGTCTTATGTTAGTTTTAACTTGTATTTCTTTTGTTTACTGGTAAGATTATACATCTCTCATATACTTTTTAACCATTTGGGCCTCGTCTGTTGTAAACTGTCTAATCATAGTCCTTGTTCTTTTTTTATTCTGATGAGTTTCCTTTCTTGTTGATTTTCAAGAGTTTTTCTTATATTCTAGCTATCAATTCCTTTTCTTAGACATAGTAAACGTCTTCTACCAGCCTGCCACTTTTCTGTTAATGTTGTCTATGGTATTCTTAATTTTTATGTAGGTAGATTCATTGAAATTTTCACCTTATGATTTGTATTTTTGAGTCCTAATGAATAGGAAGGTCAGTGGAACAGAATAGGAAATTCAGAAATTTCTAGGGCTGAACCTGGTTGTCACCTTTCCGTGCAGTGTCTGGCCCTCTCAGGCAATACTGCATGCCTTTGTGCCCTGTAGTCCCTATGATGCCATCAAGTACAGTGTATGCTTTTGTCTTCCATTAGGGCTGGTGCCATATGGCAGAATTACTTACCTGGAATCTACTCTGAGTGAAGCAGGAAAACACCACTGAAAGAATATTCTGAGTCTAGAAAGGAAGCTAGAGCTCAAATTGAAGCAAGTACTGACTGATAGCATGAAATTCTGAAGCCTGTGGGGGAGTGGGTTAAAGTTGATTGCCTTTAGGAGAGTGGTGACATCAAAGTTGTATTTCAGGATCAACCCAGCAGAAGAATAAAGGAAAAATACAGAGAGGAGTGAAAACGCTAGAACAACTAGGTGGCTATTGCAGTAATGTAGGCCTGTGGTAACATGGTGCTGAAGGAGTGGGACTAGAAAAGAAGTGGACGCAACTGACATTGCACTGGAAGAATCATCAGGCCTTGGTAGCTGATTGTGAGTGACAGGAAGAGGGAGGAGTCAAAGATGCCTTTGTGTGTGATGAAGCTGAAAGCCATCCTGCCTGTGGACAGGCTTTTGACTAGCATAGCATAATTCAGCCTTGGGGTTTGGCAAAACCAGAATTTTCAGGTGACCAATGGAAAGATTTAGTTACTTGGGCTGCTATGTAGACCCGATTGTGGTTATTTGGAACTTAAATGGAGTGAGGTGATGTTGGAAAGAGGGCTTTACACGTGCCATCCAGGCCATTCAAAGTCTTTCTGGAACATCCAGGGGAAGATGAAGAAGTGTAGCTACCTTCTTCCTCTCTTGGCTCCAGGCACTCACTTCAGGGGGTTCACTTGTCAGCCCCACCAGTCCCCGAGCACCTTCAGGTTGGACAACTGCTGCCTCCTGACCAGCCATGCTCAGCAGATGTCAGTCTAGAGAGACTGTAGAACTCTTGTGATCTTCTCCTTGTTCTCTTTGGTCAGTGGATACTAGACTTTATGAAAGAAAGATGTTATTGGTAACTAATGAGAAATAAACACAGAAAGTGTAAGAAAATGAATAGAAAAACATGTGTGGCTCACATTTCTGCTCCTGTTGTGTTAGGCTGGTCATGACTTCCTTTTGATGCTTGTTCTGCTCTCCTGGTAGAAGTCAGTTTCCCCTTCCATGGGGCCGTCTTAGTCTGACCCTGGTCTCACTGTTTATAATGTGTACCATTTGCAGGCCCAAAAAGTTATCCCTTGATTGGACAAGGAGACTTAGTATTGAAGGTGGTGATGACCTTCAGAGACTCACAGCTGTGGTCACTGTTGTCAGGCCCCTGTGTTCTTTGTCCCCTGCTTCTTTGTCTCATCACATTGCCTTTCCAGGGCAGAGCAGAGAAGGCTGCTTCCTGGCCCTCTCTCTTCACAACATGGCTCTCTCCACAGTGGACCTCCCATGGGATTCCGTATTTTTTGTTCCTGGGAAGTAGGACTTGGGTTTCCCATTGTTTACAGGATCAAAGAAGACTGACATCCTGGAGCCTGTGAAGGGTGTTGAACCAAGGTTTTCACTTTTTCCCTATAACTTCTGCCTTCAGTAGAGTTCTGGGGAGCTTTCCCATATTCTTTTTAAAAGAATAATTTATAAAAGTCTAAAGATAATAGTTTTACAGTATCAGAATAGCTTTTACACAAGAAAATGGCGTGCGCCTGAGCGGTGTGGTAAATTACTGCCCTCTGACCATACTGTGAGGGCCTTGGAGTACGGCTCTGACTGCGCAGACCTGTAGTCAAACCCACGGCTTTTCCCACCCTCAGGCAGTTCCCCTGGGTTCCTTCGTTGTGTAGGTGAATGGGTATTCACTTCCTGTCCATTATGTCACTGTTGTGTGGGGGAAAGACTTCACTGCTCCTCAACCACCTTCTTTCCTTGGAGCAGTGCTTTTACTTAGTTCAGGAATGAATCGGAGCTGAGTCAGTGGGCGGGAATCTACGGACCAGAAAGAATACAAACACTGCCCGACCGCCCTCTCTGCAGTTTCTGTCTCACCTTTCTTGAACCCAGCTACTCATAGGGATGTAGCTGTGACTTCCACATCTGCCTTTGCTTTGCTTTGTCACAGGCCACTATCATCAGCACACTTAGATGCCCACTATGTGGTGTTTGCACTAAACTCATACTAGGCATTTGACTCAGTAGACTGAATACTGTGGAGAGTTTCACAAAGAATATCTTCACTTCTGAGTTGCATATTATTCACTATGTAGATGATTTATATCAAGTGTGTATTGCTTAGACTTTCTTATTATTAAACAAATTTTAAACTTTTAACATTTCCTTAAGTTTTTTTTCTTTTTTTACCATTTGGAATAGCAACTTACACAAAGTGAATGTACTCAGAATCTTCTGTTCCCTAGCCTTGCTCTTAAACTGCCATGTGACTTGTCCTGATACACCTGAAAAATGATGAGAAATGGGGTATGGAATCGTTTCTTTTTTAATCTGTTCTAGTATCTTCAGAATTTCTCTGAGAAGGTTTCACAGTAGTCTTAAATGACAAGGTCCTCCTAAAGGTGTTCAGTACTGATTATGCTTTCTCCACAAATAGTCATGTTTTGTTAAAAATTAACACACATCTGAGTGCATACACACACACACCAAATTGTATCTATGGTCATTTTAGCCCCTCAGTATCATTAAAGAGGCTCATAAGGCAAACTGGCAGTATTTCATTTTAGGAAGGATGTGAGCATCTATTGCTTCACTTGCCATAATATCAGGTCACTTGTAATCAACAGGAGGCATGTTCCCTGTTGGTCTTCCTTGGTGTTCTAGGAGATTTTGTTGAACTCAACTGTTGTTCAGAAACTGAACTAAACTCCTGCTAAAAGAGTCAGAGAATTGTATGAAATTGAGGGGCTTATTGGGGACAGTTTCAAAGTCTTTGTTCCTGAAAGTAAAAACATGAACATCCTGATAATATTAACTTCTGGGACCTTAATAATTTGATGTAGAAGTTGCAATAGCATCATGGCCTCCAAAGAGTTTAGAATCTTGGTAAAGTCAACCAAAGTTGCATTAGTAATTTATGGGCTTTTGTCACCTCACCTCAACTCTGAACTGTCGTGAAGCTGGTAAAGAAGCCATAATTTTGTGGTGTCTAACAGAAAGAACTAGAATTAATAAACCACACAGGGAGAACCCGAGTCTGAGCATGAAAGTACAGGCCCTAAGCACCAAGGAAAGTGCCAGAACATCATTCTATCAAACCATCTGCGCCAAAGTAATTTTTAGTACATCTGTCTTTCCTTAAAAATGATTGCGACACCTTTATCGTGGAGAAGACTTTATATAAAGGAGAAACGGAAGTGGGCATCACCAAACAAGTTGACTTAGAGGCTCCTAATTCTCTTTGTCTTAATGGTTGAGGTTGTGAGTCTGGACAATTCTTACTGAGCCTTTCATTTGAAAGGATAAGGCATTTACTCTCCAGGCTCACCAACCCTCGTTGCTTGTGCTTGGTTTCTCTAGATGTAATCCACGACTTCAGAATGGAACACTGGTGCCTTCTCCACTTCCTGTGATCCAGCCATTGGCCACTGTTTCTGTGGGGATGCCTGTAAACCACCAGAAATCAGACTCTTCGGAGATGGACTCTGACTTGTCACCCAGTTGCAGGCTCAGTGACCTGAGCAGAGGGGGCAGTTTGGAGAGTCGAAGTAGCAGTTCCCGCTCCAGAAGTCTCACTTTGGTGAGTGATGGTTTCCTTTAGTGCTTTGATGCTTTGATGTGCTGTTATTGTCTGGCTTGGCCCCAGCTCCCTCCCCTTTAAGGAAGATCTTATCAAATTCTTCTGGGTTAACTAACTTAATGTTTTTGGAATACTTACTTTGTGAAATGGCATCTAAATTTTTAATCATCTTAAATTTGCACAAATACAGAACATGATCCACAGCAGTGAAGGGAATCTCACTGCAGCCAATAACAGGGCTGCTGAGAGCTGAGACGCAGGGAGGTGCCTGACTGCAGGCAGGGCCAGATGCTTTCAGTTCAAAAGACCAGAAGGAAGAGAAGCTCCTCACATGATAAAAACAAGTTCACTTTAAAACAGATTTTTCACTCCTTTACAAATATAAATGCTTTCGTATCCCTTTCTCTCAGAATCCAGACTCCTACATATCATCAATAGGCTTGGGAACTTTCATAAAAAGAGTTAGTTTTAAAGTTAAGAGATGACCTTTTAGCACTCCCCACCCCTCAGTATTCATCTTTCAGGATGGAGACCTTTATATTCACAGAGGGCAGGACAGGAGAGAATTAGCCTTGGGCTTTGCTAATAAGGGTCTATTGTCCATCTCAATTCCATCTCCTGGTGGGAACATTTTCTGTCAGATACTCTGAGCCCTAAAATTAACCCACATTATGCTGAATATAATAAAAAGATATGTACACTACAGAGGGCAGTTAATAGCAAGATAGAATTTAATCGATTTCTACTTGCATATTTTCTTTTTTTAAGTCATCATGGAAGTGTGTAACAAATAGTATTTGATTGACTCACTGAAAGAAAAATATACTACAAATTACTCTCTGAAAATATGAGAACCCACAAATCCTTAAGAATGGAGAATTAGGTACTAATTTTTTAATTAAAAACTATATAAAGAACATGTAGGAAAGACAAATGAATACTGCAGTAGTTCATGAGTGTTCTTTATAGCACAGTCGCGAGGCATTTGTGCTCCGATATAGAAGGGCATGTCTAAGCTTGCTGTGCCCAGCTCTGGGCAGTGGTCTAAAAGGCTGTCATGTGTGTGTGTGTGTGTGTGTGTGTGTGTGTGTGTGTGTGTGTGTTCGTGCTCATGGAATGAATCTGAGTGATCATCAGATGGCTGAGGTGTCTAAGGAAATGGGTATAGTGAGTGCATCAGGAGTCAGGGTGCTCAAATTATTTTTTTGCCTTTCACATTCATTTTTATGTATCCTGCCCTCTTTTGATAGAGAACCAAAATAACACATACTGTCCATTTTCTCTTGGGGGAGAATGTGATCCCAAGATGTCCAGTGCCTTGGCCTTGGGGAAGGAACATTGCTACTTTCAGTCTCCATTCTAGTGTTACAGGGTCTATCCTTCATATTAACCAGTTAATGCCCACTTTTCCCAAACATGCTCAGATAAAACCTGATTGCTCTCTGCAAGCACACCCATTGCTGAGTGGCATTCACTGACTGCTCTAGGTGACCTGCTCTGTCTTTTGTGTGTGTGGTTTATACATCTGCTCAAGTGTGGAAGCACTGTCCTGGGTGTCGTGGAGCCTGCATGCTGGTGACTGTGATCCATTGTGACAGGACCAGCTGCTGCAGATTGGCTTCCCCACAGCACAGTCCAAGATGGAGGTTAGGACTGTTTCTGGGATCAGTGTCTGGAAGGAAAGGAGGCCAGACAGTGGAGAGGGAAGTCAAGCTGTGAGATAGACCTGATGAGGGCCTTAGCTCTTGCTTGGAGAGCTCTGGGGCTGGGATAGGCCCTCAGTTGTCCTCAGTTGGGTCAAATGGCGACTTTGTACCCACTCAGTGATCAGCCTTTGGATGTAGAACCTCTTTGGAAGGAGGCATGACCTTGACAAGACAGTTTCTTTCAGCTCAAGGCAGTCCCCAAAGAGACTGACAGCTGAAGGCCACCTTCCATCAGCACTCCCATCCGATGGGAGACCACTTCCCTCATTTCCAATGGGTGAGCTGGGCCAAGTGTCACACTGACTGTCAGAAAAGTTGAGCAACAAGTAGAAAGAGGTGTCTTAGAGGGATTGAAGCTGCTGGAGTGCCTGCCAGATGTTTTACCTGGAAGAAGCAAGTCTGGAAAATGAATTCAGGGAGCTTACAGGATATTGCCTTATAGAATTCAACTCTTCCTAGGTTGCATGTGTAGGTAAATGAGACTTTAAAGTCTGTCATCTGGTGAATTTGGAGAATACGCATCATGTTGACTCTTTGTCAAGATGTCATACCCAAGAATACATCTTTAGAGACAAAAAGCTCTTGTTTGAAAGGAAGCCTTGTGTTGCTTTCTTCTTTACTAACTAATCACTATCCTGAAAATCAGCTAGACAAGGGTATCAGAGACATGATTGGATTCAGATTCAAATTTGTCTCCCTTTGTAACCCGGGAAAAGTTATTTAATTACCATCTTCATTAGTTATTTCTTTTCTTCATTAGTTTAAAAAAAGGGTGAGAAACATAATAATCCTTTCTCAGGGGAAGTGTGTGTGTTTGTGTACACACACATAAACAATTAAATGTCTGCCATCTAACAGTGCTTATAATACCAGCTTCTCTTTTCTGAGTGCCCTGTAGCTTCTGGTTGATCATAATCCCACTTCATCCTGCCACCATCGTCTTGTTTGGATCCATTTCCACCTGTTATATCTCTGTCTCTTATGAGTAATCTGAATTTTGTTCTTTGATCACCAAAGATGAAATGGTAAAAGGAAGACACTCATCTCCCCAATAACTCACCATTTCTTAGTTCTGCCAGTTTTGCTATGGGCATCACTTTGAATTTAAATTAAAGAATGCCTATCTTCTACAGTTCTTTTCTCTCCAGTAAAAGCTTAAAATAATACTGTGACATGTTTGATTCACCTGTGTATTCATCATTGTGTAGGACAAAGTGGAAACAGCATTACGGATTCTACTTTTATGAAGTATATAACTAAATTATATTCTCATGATATGTGCTTGGTTGCATGCAGTCATTCTGCCACACAGCCCATTTGACTTCCTGTGTCTCTGTCTGTCGGAGAACACACTCCAGGGCTGTTCTGGTACCTTCTTGTTAGACCTGGTGAGTGTTTCCTAGCATTTTCCTTAATGGAAAATCATAGGGCTAACTTTAGTTGTCATTAGTTGTTATTCCACAGTTGTGAATTTCCCTTAGATAGAACAGGCTCACTGAGAAAATTTGACATTTAATTTTCAGTGGCAACTAAAGTTTTCCAAACAACCATGGACCATTTGCCTTTTCCTAAGCCCTCTCTTAGCATCCAGACACCCTTGAACCAGTGACATATCTGTACTAGTACAAGATCTATAAACTTTAAAAAAAAATTTACCCTCAAATTCTACATTTTGGGGAGTCTAAATTTGGAGAGGAGCTATATGTTTTTATTCTAAATTACTGGGTCTTTTTATGACTTGTCTCTTTAGAGGGAGAATCAACCTTAATAGTTTCTCCACTTGCTGTCCTTTAATTCTTGACCCCATAAAAGATTAGTTACAGTGTTTTTAGGCCTCTAAATTGTATGGTATTAAATGTACCTCTTGGAGGACTCTTTAAGTAAAAGATAACCTAGTTCCAATTAGAAGTTTTTCTTTTAAGCAAAGGTTTATTTTTAAAAGAAGATAAAAGACTAATGCCTGCGTTACATGAGAATATCCTCAAATTTTTAAACACCACTTGAAATATTGCCTAGGATATGAGAGATCTTTGCTCTTTAGGAACTTTTCTCCTCAGCCAATGCAAATTAAAAATTAAAACAGCTGCTTAAATAGGATTGCTGTGGCTATCCATATAGGGAAGTGTGTGACGTCTTTATCATTCAAGAGAGTCAGTGTGTTTATGTATTTTGTTTTTCTTATAAGGAATTTTTCCTCTGAACCTTTTCTAATGAAAGGTATAGTTAGAACAAAAACAAACTGGCTAAATCCTGAAATACTTGACTGGGAGGATGTCTTCTGAATGTGTTTTTCCTTTGAAATTTAAGAAGCTTTCATACAATACAAGGCAGCATACCTTTGCAAAGTTGGCAGTGTGATTTTGCAAGTACTACCTCCAGAGGTGACACAGATTGAAAATAAAAGGTTCAAGAAGGATTCAGAGGCCTTCATGGTGACAGTTCTTTAAGGTGACAAAAGAAGCTTGGGTTGTGAGGTTGCCTATGTTCTTAACCCCTTAAGGCCAGTATCTCAAACACTCATGTAGCTCTTAAACACTTGGGTGCCACCACCAGGGACGGGATGCGGCCTCCTGCCAGAGTCCATAGGTCTGTATTCGGCCTGGGGCCCTGCCGCATCTGGAGCTCCCTCTATGGAAGAACATGCTTTGGCTAGGTGAAGAGTGGGAAGCTCTTACTACTCACAGTTCTTAAGAAATTAAGTGATATATGTGCTTCTTTAGGGTGGATTGGAAACATCCAGAATCCCCAAACATACTTCCTGTTCATTTTGATCTGTAACGTGAGCAAAAACAATGGCCCAAATTCAGTGTTGAGTTTTTGGAGAATTAATAGTCAATGAACTACCTTGGAACCCTCCTTCTCACTCAGCTGACAAATGTTGTGGCCCCAAAGTCACATACTGAGTCTGTGAATAAATAGCAGTTGTCAGCTCCTGATTAATCTCTTCCTTCTCCAGAGCCTTCGGTGTCTTTTGGCCACACCCATGTAGTCATGGAGTGAGAAGGAAAAGCCAGCCGTGGTGAACGCCATCTTCATTGTCAGCTAGGACTGGGGTCTCAGGAGTACACTAGAAATCTGACACACTTGTCGCTAGATGATCTCAAGAAGGGAAAACAGAACAGAGGAAAGGAGTAGCAGACTGCTCAGTAGTAACACCATCTTCCTTTCAGTTCTGTCTCTTTACCCAGATTAAACCCAAAACTTGCTGGTCAAAGCAGTCATTTTAAGATGAAGCTTACATAAGTTTTTAATAAAAGTTCAATAAACATTTAATAACTGCTTACTACATACAAC